GTAAGTGACTGAGGAAATGAAAACTGACCTCTATTTCATTCTTTCCTCCAATAACAGAGAGAATTCTCTGCAACAGGGCACTAGCAATACAAATAACTTTTTAAGAACACATACACTCTTTACAGAAAAGTGCATCAAAATGAAAATTGAAAAACAAAAAAAAACATCACGAGCATAATGATTTCTGATAATCCAACAACACAGATACTCTGTGTAAAGGCAGTCAATCTTCAACTTCAACAGACCCCAAACTCAAAGACAACAGAAAAGCAAAAAAAAAAGTCAGGATATCAATTACAAATATAGTTTTTCTAATTCTAGTCTTTCCAGTTTCTACTCTTTCTCTTTGTGACTGAGGAAATGAAAACTGACCTCTATTTCATTCTTTCCTCCAATAACAGAGAGAATTCTCTGCAACAGGGCACTAGCAATACAAATAACTTTTTAAGAACACATACACTCTTTACAGAAAAGTGCATCAAAATGAAAATTGAAAAACAAAAAAAAACATCACGAGCATAATGATTTCTGATAATCCAACAACACAGATACTCTGTGTAAAGGCAGTCAATCTTCAACTTCAACAGACCCCAAACTCAAAGACAACATGACAGAAGAGGAGACAGGAGGACAGAGCCAACAGATTTCCAGAGGCCAGATGAAGACAGCCTTTCCTGCATGAAACCCCCACAGCTAATAGGATCTATGCTACAGCATTATAGCTACGCCTGCCAGAAGAAATACCACTGTAATGTGTATTTTAATGTTCTAACCCATTATACCACATCTTCATTTAATGGCTTCTTAAAAAATCTTTACTTGAAATTTTAGCTTGAAAAGTAACAATGCTCAGTACAGGCTGGGAGATCCAGGTTTCCCTTCTTCCCACACCAAGAATAATAAAAGCAGCTAAGGATAAGCACCCTGAATCCTAACAACTAATAACTAAAAGGGGACAATCCCTCATTTACCCAAGACACACTGTAATAAGATACAAAATGTTCAGGTTCTGAAAGACTACAAGGTAATGTAGTGTTCAGAGACAGAAGTTCAACCAGAATTTATTGAACTCTGTTATTGCATTGAATAAAGTTTTGCAGCTGGGATTGATGCTGCATGCATCTTCTTTCAAGCAACCATGGCATATTTTTGTTTTTCAAACACTGAATTCCTCCAAGGAGTTCTGTCACTTGAAATTGCATCATAGTCAGTTAAAATACCCCTAAAGAATTGCAAGAAACAATGTAAAGGCAGGTGGCTTTTTGCTGTATGGAACAGAACATGCTATCAAGAAGTGAGATGGGAAGTCCCAGAAAATTGACAATGTCATTCCCCACACCTGCAGGACAGTGGTTCCAGGGTTCACCAGTACAGGACGGCCATCCACAAACACCTCTATTTGGTTGCTGGCTGCTGTTGCAGTTGTACGCCCTGAAGGACATGTAAAGAGAAAACAAAAACAACTTTCACCTACTGCTAGATGGTAACCATCAGCCCCCCACTCCTGATTTTCTTTATAGAGTGCTGACAGAATCCCAATTCTACCAACAGCGCAACACAGAATCCCTTAGCCTGCAAAACGAGCATGCTTATGTGCCCTTCAATAAACCAACTGCACATATATTTATCACCAGAGACCAGATATAAACTACAGACACTTACCACATACTCTGGAGGACTGGGTGACCCCAGCTAGGGTCCTGGGGACAGCGAACAGTCGAAGCATGGTGCTTGGGTAAGAGAGAAAACAGCACTGTTGTTATCAGTTCAAATGTTTGCGGCGAGTTTTAAACCGGCAGAGTAAAATAAAGCCTCTACACGAGCAGCAAAGCAGCACGTATGCCCGCCTATATGTGCGCTTATGGGACAGCGAGTTACCTCCGCTAAATGCGAGATACCATTTAGCGATCTACACATCACCCACAGGGATGGCACTGAGCGGCCTCTCCGCCGGCAGCGCAGCGCCGCTCCCGCCGCGCTCCCTCACGGGCCGGACGGCGCAGCCGGGCGGCGGCGGGCCCAGCGCCGCCGTACCCGGGCCGGCCCCCAGCCCGGGTCCGGCCCGCCAAGGACACCGGGAGCGGCGGAGCGGCGGCAGGGCGCGCACCGAGCGCCGCCGTTACCTGGCGCGGGACGGTGCGCTCCGCCTCGGCCTCCGCGGCGGCGGCCTCGGGCCTTTCCGCCGCTGACCTCAGCCTCCTTCGGCTATCTCCGCAGCCGTCTTCGGCAATCTCCGTATAGGGCAGTCCGCGCTCGGCAATCTCCGGAGAGAACCGCTTCGGGTATTTCCGGCAAGCTATAAGCGAACGATGACGCGCGTAATTTCCGCCGCTAGCCCACAGCCTTTTCGGCCACCGTCACACACACGGCCCTCCCTCGGCAGTTTCCGTCCCTTTCCGCCTCTTTCTTCGCTCAACTCCGGCAACTTCCGCTTTGCCAGCAGGGCGGGGTGTGGCGACAGCACAATGTTACAAAGCGCGTGTGGCGCCGCAAGCCTTCCTAGGGTTTATAGTCAGCCTCACTCTTATTACTTCGGGGCTTTCCCGCCCCGTTGGTGTCCCGTCCGCAGCCCGCCCTGCGCCGCAGCAGTCAACCCGTGAGGAGCTACCTCGCGGCTCGCTCCCGCGGAGGAACACAGCTGCGCGCAGCGCCGCGGAGGGATACCGGCGCTATAAAAGGGCGGCGCAGGCGCGGCCAGGCCCTTTCCCGCGGCGCTGGCGGTCGGGGCGGGCGCTGCGTGTGGGCCGCGCGCCGCCGCCATGGGCTTCGGGGACCTGAAGTCCGCCGCGGGCCTCCGCGTCCTCAATGACTTCCTGGCCGACAAGAGCTACATCGAGGGGTGAGAGGCGGCGGGGGGGTGCAGGGAGCGTGAGTCGGGCCTGGCGGGGACGCGGGAGGGCCCCGGGTCACCCCGGCCGCCGCTGCACGTGTTCCTGCGTGGCCCGAGCAAAGGGGGTAATGTGGCTTTTCTCCGCAGGTACGTCCCTTCGCAGGCTGACATCGCAGTCTTCGAAGCGATCGCTGCCCCTCCGCCTGCAGAGTTGTTCCATGCTCTCCGGTGGTACAATCACATTAAGTCGTATGAAAAGCAAAAGGCAAGGTATGGTAAAACTCGAAGCTGCAATATCTACCTGAATTAGCCTACAAAATTCGTTTCTTCGAATTTGAGCAAAACTGAGTTCCATTGGCACCACGTGGCGTTTTGTGGTGTTGGAACACAAACAGTTCCTGAAGCAGAGCAAACCTCTTGTCATTACGGAGGACAAAATTAAAGATTTGCAGTACCGAAGGACATGGAAAGAAAAGGCGATATGAAAGGAAATAGTATCTCTTTTGTCTTTTAGTGGTTTTATATGCTCATGAAAGGTGCTGTATTGACATCCGTGGAGACTGCAGGCCTCTGAAAAGGTACAGCACAGGTAGGGTCAGTACTGCTACCCTGCTCCCTCTGAGCCTCGGTCCTCTTTGGAGGAAACACTTCCAGTGAGTGGCTCAATCTCCAGTAAAAGTTTCTAAAGCTTTTGTAATGCTAAAGGGAGCTGAGTTTTTGAAGTGGCTTCACAAAGTATCTGGAAGCTACCTATGGTTCCTGAAATCAAAAGGCAGTTTTATGGCTTTAGCAACAACTGCTCACATTAGCAATACCATTATGAGCTTATTGTAAGATAACAGGACTATAGGAGCAGCAAGAGAAGGTAAATTCAGGGAGTTCTGGTCCCTTGTCCTGTTAACAGCAAGGGTTTAGGATAAAATATTAACTGAAACATAGGAAAATAGCAGTTACCATGCAATAATGTGTTCAGTGACTTACTAGGTTTTTAAAAAGTGAAAGTATTTCTAGAGAAGCATGAACAAGAAGTTGGTAATTCCTCCTAGACAGAATATAGTGCAGATAAAGGATTCCAGTTGGGAAGCTTTTCCTGTCCATGTACTTAGTTGGGCAGGATCATACCAGCTTTGATGAGCTGCAGCAAATCCCATATTCACAGATTACTCAGCTGGCATGTCAGGAATATTGGGGGATGGCTTTCATGAGGTTCTGATTTCAAGTAGCAGAATTGTATTTTTACTCTTTTTAGCACATTATAAGTTCATTTGTATGTGCATTGATAAATTGATGTTTGAGGAGGTTCCTAATACCTCAATTTTTCTTTCAGCTTGCCAGGAGTAAAGAAGGCTTTGGGAAAATATGGTCCTGCTGATGTTGAGGACACAACAGGTGCAGGCACAGATAGCAAAGATGATGATGACATCGACCTTTTTGGATCTGATGATGAGGAGGTACTTGTGACCTTTTTTTGTTAATACTGTTTTTTAGAAATAACTACATGTATGCAGATTTTCACCTTGACCTAGTTGAAGTTACTTAGATTTTTGGCATTGCAATTCTCAAGTGTAGCTTCTTTGCAGAATAGGAAAGCTTGGAAGGTAAAAACTCCAAAGTTAGAAAATAATGGGCTGGAATGGGGTGAACTGTCCCAACTTTGACTGGTTACATGATGAGTAAAACAAAAAATCACCATCTTTCGGCTGACAGGTGTGATGATTTGTTTTTATCTGAGTAGATGCCAGTCAGTTTAGTAGTGCTTTGGAGATGTGGAGGTTTGGTGCTTTTCTGTAACTGGGAATTTCTCTTTCAGGAAAGTGAAGAAGCAAAGAAACTGAGGGAAGAGCGCCTGGCCCAGTATGAATCAAAGAAGTCCAAAAGTATGTGTGCCAAGAGCTTTCTCATCATTATGCTTGGGTGAATTTTCATGCCTTTGGACAGGATGGCTAGAACGACTAATTAACTGTAATAATAGATCAGCTTGACTGGAATGAGACAGGAGTAATTGGCTTCACTTGAACTGCCAGTGAGCTCAGCCTTCCCATAGCAAATAGGAGTGTTAACATGCTTTTTGTTCTGGTTCATACACTCCTGCTTGTTCTTTCCAGAGACTGGCCTTTCTACCTATAAAATGAGATAAAAGTTTAGAGAAACTGCTGCAGTGCACAAGTTACTCCACAGCTACTGGTCTGGAACTGTTCAGAACTGTAGCAGTTGCAGTATTCCCTCTGTGGAAAATAAAACTGTTACACAGCATTAGGCTCCTTCTCAGCTGTTCTGAGAAGGACTTCCTATGTAACAAACACTGTCGTCTAATTAAATCTGTGTATGCATAATGCATCTGCATATTGAACCCTGGGATGTACACAGCTGCAGTACTTCAGAAATGCACTTTGGTTCCAGAGGCCTGTCACAGCAATGTGAGCAGGTTCTTGTGCCTGAAATTGGAGACGTTGCTCTCGTAAAACCAGTTTGCAAGTACATTCATGAGTTTTTGGAAGATGCCTATCTTTTCATGGTGATTTTCTTCCCCCAGAACCAGCTGTTGTTGCCAAGTCATCGATCTTGCTGGATGTGAAGCCTTGGGATGATGAGACAGACATGGCCAAATTAGAGGAGTGTGTTCGGAGCATTCAAGCAGATGGCTTGGTCTGGGGGTCTTGTAAGTATGGGGGCATTTCAGAGCAGGGAGAGGGGGACTGCAGGCCCTTGGGGTAGTGTATGAGTAGTGGGACTTGCGGGCACTGCTGATCTGTGAAATGTAGGTGGCTGTAATGGGGGAGCTGCAGTACTTCAGTGTCTTTGTGTGGTCAGAAAAGGGGTATTAGTGCATTGGCTGGTTAAGATTCATATACAGGTTTTAAAAGCTATAGGACTTAAGCTCTGCTCTCCTGCATCTCCCTGTATAATTCCTGGTGCAGCAAACACACGCCTTTACCCACCCACATCACTGGTTTGGGGAAGGGGTGGAGGTCCACAGAAATCAGCTTTTTCCATCAGTTGTAATGAATGGTGGGTTATTAATTAGGTGGTCCATAATGTGGACCAAAGGCTGTTTTTATATGCTTTGGTCAGTTCACTCTTAGATGTGTATTTTTAAGAGCTTCCACCAATAAAGGAGTACTAAATGCCTTCTTTTTATTTTGCAGCCAAGCTAGTACCTGTTGGCTATGGTATCAAAAAGCTTCAGATCCAGTGTGTTGTTGAAGATGATAAAGTTGGAACGGATATGCTGGAAGAGAGAATAACAGCTTTTGAAGATTATGTACAATCAATGGATGTAGCTGCTTTCAATAAGATTTAAGTCTTGATATACCTAGAATAAATGTTGTTGCAAAAAATGTGCAGTGTCTGTGCTTGTTTCAGAATCTCAGAGTAATCCAGCTCACACATGTAAGGTTTTCTTAATGGGTAAAGTAGAAGCTGAAACGGAATTTCAAGGTTGCTCTGACACCTCATTAGTACCCAGGAGCATGAGCAGAGCATCACTTCAGAGTTAACATTACCATGGCTTTAAAATACTGAAATGCTCTTTCCTCCATCTGTGGAGGAAATTGCTTCTTTGGAAATGTCTGGAATTCCTCTGGGAGGGACGGTTTTAAGGGAAAGGAGCAGGGCTCAGTTAAAGTGCGTGTTTTAGTGGGTAAACAGTATAAATTCCTTTTGTTTAGTAAGGGTGGTGACTAACCAAATACACCACAGCCTCTGACAGCTAAAACTCCAGTGAGAGAGGGAGATTAAGTTCAAAGTGACTTGCAGTGCTCTGGAGATAAGGCCTGAGACTACCCTGGTGCCTTCTCACCTGTTCTACCACTTGGACCTTTTTTTTTTTTTCCCTCTGAGGCTGGGAAACATTTGCAAAGGAATTACGTGGAGTTTTGTGTGCTGACACAGCGAGCGCTGCTGCGGAGGGGCCGCTGCCTCCCGGGGGCGCTGCGAGCCCGGCGGTGCCCGGGCGTGGAACGGGAGCTGTGCACGGGCTGCAGGCTCTGACCCACCCCACAAACGTGTGCTCGTGACTGAAGCTAACAGCTGGCAATGCAAACGCGTTAAAGGATATAACAAGTAGTGAAATTAACAGCAGTTGGAGCTGTTTACTCAGCTCCAGATTGGTTTCTAGATTGATTTTGACATTTCTTTTAGCGATTGAAGAACCAGCAGGAATAAATCCCAAAAACTGTCTATAGGAATGATACAAATGTAGAAGCTGTCAAAGTTATGAAGCTTCTAAACAAATTCATAATTTTATGCCTTACATTGGACTGGAAGGATTTATTGCAACCATGAAATGGAATCCTTTCATGTGCCTCATTGGTCACTGGGAGATGAAGATGCCCACTGTCAGAGTCTGACAGCTGCATCTTAAGTAACTCTTTTTGTTGGTTGTTTTTTTCACAGAGCATCTGTGTGGTTATCTGGCACAGCAGGTCCTCTTTCTCCGTGTTTAAAGGTCTGCCAACTTCAGATTATGTAAGTGCTTTGTTTGTAATTTGTCTCAGAAAAAAATCTGTCTGCAAGAGGCTTAAAGCCTGGTTCAAGATCTGAAAGTGAGTATTGTTACAGGCTCACTTGCCACCTTCCATAAATCTGATTCCTAAACAGTACCCTTTTTGTGGCAATTCTCTAGCTGTTGCTTCTGCTGAATCATGTAGCTTAGTTTTACCAATTTTGTCATGGTGCTGTTAGAAGTAAGAAATTGCCAAGCACCATATCAGGCAAGCAAGTTATTAAAAATTCTGCCTCAAAAGTACAGGTTTTATTATCTTGACCATCACTTTCTCTGACCTCCCATTCAATGTGCTGCTTACCTTGATACTCTTTCCTTCGCTTTCAAATTAAAGCCCAAAGTGGATAAAAAGGTTTGACTTATAGATGGTAACTTTGTTAAAATGCAGCACTGAGTCATCCATGTGACCTGCCAGACTGGATTTTCGTGTGTTACATTTATGCTTAGTATAGAAACTCTTTGGTTCTTGAGATTTCTTATGTGTGTTGAGTTTTGGCAGGGTTTTTTGGTTTTTTTTAATCCTGATATTAAAAAGAAATTTGCACAGAAACAAAAGAAACAAAAAAACCCTAGGGTGCACAGTGAAAAAATAGGTAGGTATGTGGGCAAGATTATTTTGCTCAATCCACACATATTTGTGTTAGGTGTTTTTAGGTGGTGTTTGGGTATGTGCTGGCATATTACTGTGTCATTGTGCCTGTGAAAAACCAGCACCCTGGAATAAATGAGGTAAGTGTCCCTAGTGCACCCATAACAGAGGGATCAGGAGAAAATTCCATTAACTTCAATATGTCCTATACTGGAATACTGGGAAAACAGTTTGAACAAAACTAATCTACATAAAAACCTTCAGAAACACAAACTAGAGAAAGTAACTAGAACCTGTCCATTATGAAACGTGTCAATAGCTATTTCTGTAGTATCTCTTTGCACGATGACACAGGTTCCTTTCCTTTTTCTGGCCATTTTTCCATTGTGGTGAGTCGAATGAGTGTTCCTCAGTCCAAGCAGCATAGAATTGTTGGCATTGTTTTGGAGACTCTTTGGAAACAGAAACTTAGAGCATTATCTGTTTTGTTTAGATATCTTGCATTACTCTTGAAGAAATGATTTAGATAATTCTGTAACTGATCTTGGTGTGAACAGTAGCAGTTACATTGCACAATTATTAATCCACCTAATGCCATAGATCAAGGCTGATTTTGGCTTTTTTCAATTCTAAATTCTATCCTCTGTCTTCCCCCTGTCTACTTCAGGCCACACTTTCTGATCCTTTACGCAGGATGGGAAATATATGCTCCCCCATTTGAAAATCAGCCTCTGTGCTGTACACAGGAACATGTGAGTGCACACAGCTGAAGAAAGCTGACATGAACCTTAAATCCCATAGTAGAAAGGGCCAGGGCTTGATTTCACCTTCCAAAATCATGGGAAGGAGCTGTTATAAGAAAAACCAGTCGCCACACATTGCTGCTAAGAAAAGTAAATGAACATAATCTTTGGAAAGAAGAAAATTTTATTACTTCACTTGGACCACAGCCAGGAGAGTACATCATTCTTAGAAAGATGTCAGGGAACATGTGAAGAAAAACTGCAAAATGTTTGATTTAGGCACATATAGCAGCATGGTGCCAAAATATTATGATGAGCAACTATGTACCAGGCAGCAAATGACTCAAAGGAAGAATGCTGCTTACCAGCTTTTCAACCCAAAGGGGAATACACTGAAATTCCACTGATCCTGCCTGACTCTCAGACTCTGGAACCAGAGCCCAAAGAAATAGTTACACACCATAGTCAGGCTGTTTCTATTGTGCAGTTACCAATACTGGATGTGATCATGCATATATATTTTTTTTATACAAAAGCAAATCTATTTACATATAAGGCCTCAATTATAGCATAAATGCTACTGTGTTGGCAGGCCATATAAACTAGGTAAATTATCTGAAAGGCAGTTTTATTCTCTACACCTAGGCCAATAACTAGCAAAAAACAGTTCAAATTTATCCAAAGCTCTGTGCTTTTGCTTTCAGTAGAGTTTTGTCCCACATTCAACTGTTTAATTAAGTGGTATTGCATCAGAAATTGGTTCGCACCACATAACATGTATATATATTTGCATTGGTGCATGTATGATTCTGCAGCAAGCAACATGTTGGAACAGAATACAGCATAACTGGGACTGCTTCATCTTTCTTATGGGAGTGGACTCCATTTCCTGGATGAACTGTCTTGCCTCTTATTTGGAAAATAAGTCCGAATTTGGCTACAGACTTGTAACAGAATACTGATGAATTCACTCCACCCATTTTTTAAGCTTAACATTAAGGCAAACAAAATGTTATATTATTTCTTTACCTTTGCTTGAAAGAGTAATAAAGAACAATCAATGGTTGTTTGTAGGACTAAACCTCTGTAGGACTAAAATTTTAAACATAGAAAAAGAAGTGTGGCACAGAAGCTGTAAGAAATATTTTCACTAATTCTTTGCACATTTCAAATAAGCCAAATACCTCCATGAAACATCAGCTCAGTATTTTGCACCCAACTGGTGCTAAAAATACAGTAAAGTGACCCAAAACACAGGGTCTCCTGTCTTAGTTTTGAGTATAAGATAAAGAGCACTGGAGAAGACAGGGTTTTTTTCCCCATATTTTTCTTTTTTGACAATAGAAGGCAGCAATTCAGTGTTCTCCATCTTGGGATTCTTCTCCAGGTGCAGAGTGGAGCTACTGATAGCTTCATTTAGGTGGGATGTAGCCAGGGGATTCCTCCTTGGGGCAGTAGCAGGCAATCAGGAGACTCATGACCCAGAGATGTATAGCCACAGCCTCTTGGATGAGAATGCCTCCATTAGGAGTTGTACCAGCAATGGCAAGGAGGAATACTTTTATTTTGTGTTCTTTCGATATCAATGAGGTATGGAACCACAGCAAACCAACAGGACCACAGCAAAAGCCCAGTTAGAGTAATTCCACCTATGCTGATAACTTTCAGTTCAGGCTGTATGTGCATTGCAAGGGCACACATCCAAACCACGTGTCCCTTAAAAACCTTTCCATTAAAGCAGCGAGTGCAATTTAGCCAGCTGTTTACAGAAAACTGTCAATGCAAAGACGCACATGTGACTGGCACATGTGCAGTGAAGAACAGCTGCAAATCTCCTGTCAGCTCCTGTGGAGAGCTGCTGGCAGGAGCAGTTAGTGGGCAGTTTCGCAGCAGCGCGCGGGCGCGTTGTCCGAGCTCCAGAGCTGCTCGCTGACCGTGCCCGAGCGGCTCACCTCCCACAGGGCCAGCTTCAGCACCTCCGACACCGTGCTCCTCACCTGGGCTTGGAACTTCTTGCTAATCAGAACGTAGAGGATTGGGTTGAGACAACTGTTGATGAAACCAAGGCCAGTGGAGAGGGGAATGCCATCCTGCAGTAAGTCATGCAGGTTCTCATCATGGTGAGCAGACAGCTCCACAATGCTGAATATATGATACGGTGTCCAGCAGACAAAAAAAGCTACAACTACAGCAGTGATGGTCCAGAAAAGCCTGCTAGAAGTCAATACAGTTCTCTTCTTCACTTTGACAATCAGCAGTGAGTAGCAAATAACCATGGTCACTAGAGGAAAGAGGTAACCAAATGCAAGCCTCACCCAAATGAGAATGTGATGTGTCAGCAAAATAAGTTCCTTGTCATGCACATGGAAGTTGTTGTAGCAAATGGTGACATTGTTGAGAACTGTAGCTGTGTCTCTAAAGTATAAGGCAGGGCCACCAATAATTGCAGCCGACATCCAAATGACCCCACTCAGAAGGAGGGTGTTCTTTACAGTCCTGTATTTGTAGGAAAAGACGGGGTGGACCAGGCGGATGTAGCGGTCAAGGCTGATGAATGTCAGGAAGAAAACACTGGCAAACATATTAAGTAGTGCAATGAATGAGTTCATTTTGCAGAGCCACTTCCCAAAAGGCCAGTGGAAGCCCATTGCCACGTATGTAATATAGAGGGGCAGGAAGAGAACAAAAATGAAATCTGCAATGGCCAGATTCAGGAACCAGAGTGTGGAAACAGATTTATCCCACTTAAAGCCCATAAACCAGATGACAATGGCATTACCTGGCACTCCCAGCAGAAATGCCACACTGTAAAAGAAAAGGGAAATAATATGGGCAATGCTGAGGGAGGACTGGGGTGACTCATCTTCCTCAGACAGATCGTAGAAATAAGAGTAGTTCTCAAAATCTTCAAATGTCATGTTGCAGAGTGGCTTTCTGGGGAAGAAAAGAAATGAAATGGTCAAAGGAGAAATATTTTACTGCACTGTAAACAGTAAACTGTAATTCTTTCAAGTTTTTGATCATAAACCAAAATCATTGCCTTAGTTTGGCAAATCTGTCACCTTTTATCTGTCAGTTGCTTGCACAAAACTCCTGAAGAAGTTTGGTCACAGGCATTTCAAGAAATGTTCAAATCAAAATGGAACTTGAAATCTTCAATAAGTGTTTTCCTTACATTAATTTCTTAACAGACAGCGCTGAGCTCAGTGTTAAATCTATCACTGATAGATTTCTAGGAGACCAGACACAAAGTTTTATTGAAGTATGATTGTGCTATTATTTTCTGGTCAGGTTTTGTACTTTACTGCTCTGTTCCTATGTGAAGCAAGGTTTATGGATTATATCTGTCTAAAATCAGAAGAGCATTAGACATCTATGTAGGAAAAAAAAAATCACTTAAAATGCCAGGACCATCTTCTATAAAATTTCACCCACCACCCTGCCTCAAACTGTAGTTAACAACATGACAGACAGCGATTTCTCCAGCAACTAAAAGTTCATGAGTTCATTCATCTCTTTCATGTATGTGTTTGTATCAAGAAATTATTACTTTCAGGCCCATTTAACATCTTGGATTTCCTTAATACAGCAAAGAATGTAGAGAAAGAAATGTATAGAACATATTGCAGGGAAAATACACACTATGGTGTTCTTTCACTAGTGAGCTGAGAAACAGGTAATAGATGAAAGAAAGTGAAGCTTCCCATGAATAAAAAACACATTGTAAGAGCTATAAATGAAAATAGTTCTGTGTCCTTTTTTTTTCTTAAGATAGAATTACAGAATTTTCTCAGTTTTCCTCTCTTACAAAAGCTTCTGGAACTTGCAAGTACAACGTGATTTTTCACATAGAAATTCTGTGGGTAGGAGGGAAAGTGAGGGGGAGGGAAAATGGAATATAAACCAAAACAGAGGGGAAGAAAGAAATTAATGGGAGAACAGACGGGAAACAGAGTTTGAACAACAGAAAGAAAAGCAGTCAGAAGTTATTTCACAGTATTATTTCACAGTGTTTAGTTTGCAGTGCAAACAAAGCTGCAACACATCACAGGTAGCCACAGTCAGACAAAAGTCTCTGCAATGATCAAAACAATTATTCTGCGAAACTCTGTCATCATTTACAGCTGAATATTTTGGCTGGACTCAGCTGCACTGAAGACCTGTGCCTGAGAGCAGTCAATTAGCTGTACTACAGTTTATCTTATTGCTAAATTTCTGAGTGCTCTCTCCATCCCTAAACCAAAATTCAGCCCGTGCTTCTGGAACTCAGCCCTGCATTCCTGTAATGCCATTAATTACAGCATGCTAGGGACAACCCAAGAGGGGTCTCCAGAGCACACTGCCTGCACAACCACATCTGCAAGCTCGTATTCCTGCACTTACCTTTCCTCCAAAAAGTAATTCACCCAGTCTGAAAGGATTACTCACAGCGCATGTGCACACGCATTAGCAGGATTAGACTTCCCATTTGTAGATGGGTAGACAGGGAAGGGAAAGAAAGGTTGTGTAATTTTATATCTCTTGATTAAAAAAATATGTAGTAAGAGTCAGCACAGCCTGTTCTGTCAAGAGGCTATGATAGCATTTGTGATTTACATCAGGCTGAAAGAATGTTATTTGGTTTGCTGTCCTGATGAATGATACTTATTGGGCTGCATTTATGTAATTACATGCCCCTTGGGGGTGGATTCTGCATTAAATACCACCACCACCCATCTGAGTAATTTTTTCAAACAGCTTAACAGCTGCTGAGAGAAGAGTATAAACATGGAGCAGTACCATTAACATCTGGAACATTAGATTTGGACAGTTTCAGAGGGCAGTCAGGTTAACAACTGGATTTTTAAGTGGGTTTGCCTATACAAAAAACTGTACCTTCAAATCAAATTTATGCATCTAAACAAAAAAATTTCAAGCTGCAATGACAATGATAAACATTTGCCTACTGCCCAACAATGTTAATTTTATATTTAGCATTTTAAAGATGATGTATCGCAGGAGAAAAAACATATACCCAAATAAATGCCAAATATTTCCCAAGCCTCCTGTAGTTTAAAACTCCAATGAAAGAGCACACCTTTAGAATGCAATTATTTTTCCAGGCTTATATTTTTCCTCCTCTCTAACTCTAGTCTTCAACGCAGTGAGTCTTCTTTAGCAGTGGGAGTAAAAAAGCAGAAGGAACATTGTTTACCACTGCTCCAGTGCACAGATGCTGAAATTAGACTTTATGGCTAGGGCTCAGAAAAGACTGCCAATTACATTTGCAAAGCCCAGAAACTTATACTTGTGACATTGAGATATATGAAGGACTTCTATAGCAGGACTCATGGTGTAAAGCCCTGTCCTGAAAAAGATAAGCAGTAGGTGATTGTCAGTGGAGTCACACTGGATTACATCAATGAGGACACAGATTGTTTTCATTAACCATAATTCAGCAGGGATGTTTCTCTGTGGTCCTGAAACACATTATCTCTTAATACATTACTCTGAAATTAATAAATTTCCAGAGTAAAAAGTGTCTTGCAGTTCAAGTCTAGGTCTTGTGAAGAAATCTAATTGTATTCCTTACTCTGTCACCAATTTCCTGTATGATCTTTGACAAATGGCTTGCTTTCCCAAGCTGGACAAATTCTCATGAATGTGTTTGCAAACTGAGGCTCAGTAGAGAAAACAATACTTTCAGACAGCAGTTTCTGCTTGGCTTTAAGGCAACTGCTAGAAAGGGTAAGGGAGGCTTGGTGGAGTTCACTGGCTCAGTGTCTGCCGGTCTGGGGAGCCAGTGCATGGAAAACATTTTTCAATAAACAGGAAAGTGTGGTTAGGGGCCTGCCAATAAGCATTGGGAGCAGCCACAGGTTACAGAACAGTGTTCTATTGCATATGGATTAATATAACCGAGTTTAGATTTCATCCTGTCCTTTTTTAAAAGTTTTATTTTAAATAGTAAACACCCTGTGCAAAGTGTACGCTCAGCAGTTGTTTGACAAGTCCATTCCTGTTTGTTGAGCCACAAGCAGCTCTGAAAACTGAGCCTCCTTGATTCACTTGCTTAATTATGAAAACAGTTGACCAGGAGGTTTCATTTCCTGTCCTCTTCTGTAAAACAGAAGTTAATTTCTAAATGACAGGATGTCTCTTGGCACTTTTAGATCTTAGGAGAGAAAGCAGAATTACTAAGAAATACAGATAATCAGGAAATACTTCTAAAATATAAAGCCACAGAACTGCTGGGAAGAGACTTCACCAAGTATTCCACGAACAGTCTTTCTCTGACTTTCAGCAGGGAATTACAGACTTGGATCTCAGTTGACATATTCGCAGCTTTCTACTAAAAGTACCTAGAGTTTGTGTCCTCTGCCACTATTATAGCTAAACCATAATGACAACTTGGACAAATGATTGGATCTGCCTAAAAATAGAACAGCTCTTGTCACACTAAGAATGGCCTTAGAGTTATGACATGGGACAGTACTTTGGAACCTATTCATGGCTATGCCACAAGCATCCTGTTTGACCCCTCCACACCTCAGCCCTGAGGTCAGTGCAACAGCTTTGGAATTAAATTGCATTGGGCTTTCAGTCTAAAATAGAAGAGAACAAACAAAAAAGTTGCAATTTCCATCCACTTCACTAGAAGCAAAGTCCTCCTGGGAGTTCAAAGTTCCCTGGGCATCACACAAGTTAGGAACTAACTGAATTACACTGGCAGTCTTTACCACAAATTCAAGCTCAGCCCACACAACCTCTCTCTCTCACATTTGGTCCTCATTACTTTTGAATTTTACAGAAAGGTCAGAGTTTATTCATTGTCCATGTTAGTTAAAAGTTAACACAAATATTTGAGTGGTAGTCCCCAGATCTATTTTTTCAGTGTGACAAACAGTGTTAGAGCCTTTAGCCAGCTATATTGGTTTCAGAGGTCACAGTAATGGGTCCTGACTTACTAGAAAATTATGGTTTGGAGGGTTGTCTGTCTCAACAGTTCAGTTCATAGAGGGAAGACGTTACACAAACCCTTCTATCAATGTCTTTTGGAACAACTCTGAGCACATCACATTCCATGTGTGTTATCTGTGGCTAAAGGAAAGCTTATTTGATTGCATCACTTCAACTTCTGTCATTTGCAAGAGTCAAAAGCTGGAGAACAGCTGGTTTCACAAAAGGTCACTTAGAACCTGCTTGTCATATTGTGGCAGCAAGTTTAGCCAGGCATTGAATTCATCAGTTTTTTCTTGGAACTTTTGAGGTGACAAATTTTGAATTTATCCAGCTTCAAAAACATAAACATGAAATCCACCTGTAGTTTATCTGTAAAGTTCAAAACTCAGAAGGCTGAGCAAATTCATTAGAGGTACACACATGTATTTCTGGCAAACATTTTACAAAGACATAGGATAGATCTGAAAACACACAAGGAATACTGATGAAATTACAGACTGTCATTGATTCACATTTCTCCCTCAAAAGAACAAAGCCAAGATAAGACTTGCCTTTATGCAGAAACTTTCCTATAGCAGGTGCCTGATACACTCATACTACAAAACCAAATCACAGATATGCTACAGAATAAGCCTAAAGTTGGCCCTGCAGACAAAGCCACTAGGAGCATTTTAAGGTGAGGAGCATTTTAAGCTGGTATACACAAAAGCAGAATCAAGGCTTGTGTCTATGTTTTCTCTTTCACAGGCACGTACACAAAAAACTGTCTTTTGACTATCCTTTTAATGGTGATTAGATATATGTTAATCTAGTTACTTCATGTATCATCCTGAATTCAATAATGGGTCACAACAGATATGACATATGACTGGAAATGTTTTTGAGCCACAATATAGATGTATTTGTTCTAGCAGATAAGGAAGGAATGCAAATAACAATCATTCTCCATTATGTCTCTCAGCAAAGCAGTGTTAGAAATGTATTTGCAATGT